CAAATTGACTATATCCAGGTACAAACAGAGAAAGAATAAATAGTTCTAGCTAGCAAGGACCTTGGGAATAAACCTGGGAACAACCAAGGATGATCCCAAATAATTCCAAGCAACAGAACCAACCTGGCTGGACAAAACAGCAGGTGGTAGGTTGGTAAACAACCTCTGGTTCTGTTTTTCCAACCTGGGAAAAACAACAACCAGGTTCAGGTCCTAAAAACAGAACCTGTTTTGTCTTTGCCCAACCAGCCAAATGCTGGTTCCGCTGGTTTCCCCTGGCCCTGTAGCATGCAGATACAGACAAACAACATCCAACCTTCACCTATATTGTACCCCTATAGTGCCTGCCCTGCTACACTATAGTCAACCAAACAAAACAGTACAATTTCGAGTTGGATAGAACTGAATCTGCGCAATCAAGTAAGTTGAACCGCAAAGCTTCCATCTTGGGTTCCTTTACGAGCTTGTCCTTTCTGCTTGTACTGTTCATAGCGCGTACAATGTTATGCCGAAGCGCACAATGAAAGTTGCTGCTAGGTCTGGTCTTCACAAGAGCAATGGGCTGGTCAAGATAACCACATGTACCAAGAGTGCAGAAAACTCCAAGGACAACCTGAAGCTGAATGATACTGTTGTCAAGGAGCGGTTTCAGAGTCGTCTGGGGCAAGAAGAAACTGTCCGTGGAAATATTCGCGTTGTTGGCAAGGTTGACACAGGAAAGGCGAGCGGCACGATTCAAGCCGTGGGGAACCAGGATGCATCGGCATTGATCACTGTATTCAAGGAGCTGGTGCAGTGGATGCGAGAAATGGTGGGAGGTAATGTTGGACTTGCACCGCCGACGATAGAGGAACGAGGGAAGCAGTAATACTGCTAAGCTTGAGTCAAGTGAAAGTGATGCACCACAAGGTGTGACAACAACAACAAGAAGTTTCGGAGATGCTCGACGTGGGATGAAGCTGAAAGGGGTTATCCATTGGCAGAAGCCGACTATAAAAAACAGTAGGAGGGAAGTCAGGGATCGGTGAAGCAGCAATGATTATCGGGTCGACAGTGAAAGAAAATGAAGAAGCCTGTGCGGAAAGCGGTAGGTGACAGACAAGGCAGTGTTATTCATCGGTTGGGGAAACGGACAAGTCAGCAACAGAGTGTGCGTGGAGTAAAATCGACAGATTGAGGGGGAGTTTTTCAATCTGCCGATTTGAGGTTATGGTTCAGGTTTTTTTAGCTGCATTTGATTCGACTGGCAGGTCTGGTAAAATCAAGGTAAAGTCAAGGCTGGTCTGGACCAATAGGAGTGGCTGGTGGTGTTCAAAAGAGTGAGTTTTACCTTTTTGTTTTTGAGCGATATGTTTTGGTGGTTCTTAGTGGTTGCTGTTCGAGATAGCAGTTGCTCATGAGTTCGAGTGAGTAGCTGCTCGCACCGCCACTGTTCGAGGAGCGAGATTGGTCCTTGTTTGTTATCTTGTTCGTTAGCGAGTTCGTGAGTGCGTTCATCAGTGTGTTCGTTAGCGTGTTCGTGAGCGTGTTCATCAGCGTGCTCGTTAGCGTGTTCGTGAGTGTATTCATTAGCGTGTTAATTAGCGTGCTGAGTAAAGCGGGCGAATCGTTTTTCAGCGCAGGTTGCGTGATCAGCGAGATGTTTGAGTGAGTTCTGCTATTCACGTTTTTTAACAGGTCTGACAATTCGGATCAACGGTGCGTTCGAAACGAGACGCACGTGGCGAGTAGCAGTTGCGTGATAAAATATTTTGCTGATCGCCACCAACATTTCCCTTCGTGCGAAATTCGAACGGTCTTCATCGCAACTGTACGCAGATGGCGCGAAGAGTAAAATTAGAATTGGCACCATTGGAATTCTTCGCGCTCGACTTTCGAATTGTTTCAGCGACGAATCGCGAGCCCGCCAAGTTACAAAACAGAAAAAGGGAGGGAAACGCGAGAGTGCTCGCGCTACGAGAAACGAGACTGCAAACGTGAAGAAAGGAATTAGGTAGCAATAGAGCTAATATATTATTGTGTGTTCTTGCTATTTTAAGTATATAAATTGAGTAAAGGATTTCTCCTGTGCCTGCTGCAAGAACGCTGCTATAGTTAATTCCTTCTCACTCACCATTAGCTAGAGTAATTGAGATCGTAATTATCTCAATCTAATTTCTGCAACCCTAAATTGCAAACCAGCGCAGCCAATGCGCGCTGGTTTTAATCGCGAACACATTGAAGTTCGCGCAGGTCGTTTTCGAACTCGAACATGTTCGAGGTTCAAGGCGGCACGTCAGAAAAGACCATCCAAATCGAACATGTTCGGCCCGAACTCGAACACGTTCGGGTTGAACACTTTCAGCAAAAAATTTCGAGCCGAACCGAACAGGTGTTCAAAAATTTGCTCACTATTCACAACTGTTTTCCTGCATTCCTGTGCAAGTGCCGGAGCACACATGCAGTGGCCTGTACATGAGCAAATGAATGCGTGCTTTCCTATGTTTTTGTTTTAGTATTCCCATGCCATGCCCTATGCCTCATTCAGGAATGTTGGAAACAACCATTTCACAGGAACCTTCCCAGATTTTATTCTGCGCCAGGAGTTCCTTTCTATCCTGTAATACATCCACTCGTGGCCTTGAACAAAAGCGAGGTGCACAAAAGGAGCAAAAACACAAGCAAAACAAAGTGCCGTGCCGAGCCGGCACGCTGTCGTTGTCAGAATGTTATTATCTAGCCTGTACTGGGGTGCTCTATAGCGAGTACAACCCTGTTAGGGTTTGCTATATGTATCCCAACTGCTGCTAGTGAAACTCCTTTGTTATTTTCTCTCTTGCCTAGCTAGCTAAGCCCTAGCTATGGCTCCTTACTCTACCTACTATTCTCATAGTCCTTTGGATTGAATCCAGCCGAACTGCACAGAGGAGCCTTTTATTCATGCCTGTGATCCATCCATGCGCGACCTCACTCAAACAGAGGCAGGTTGCACTGATGAAGTAACTGCTGCCATTTCTTGCAGTACTTCCAACAGCAACTACCTGAACAACTCGAATGGCAATCGCAGTCAAAATGGCCATGGCATGGCAGGAACTTGGCCAACAACAGTTTCACAGGGACTATCTCCCGCGAACTGACCAAGCTTGTCTACCTGAGTGGCATGTAAGTTGCACTGCTGCAAACTGTAGCAGGATGGAGGATCTGTTAAGCCTTGTGCTTGAATATCTGAGGTAAAATTGAGTCTCTTGATACCATTGTGCAGTGTCTCAACAGCAACAATTTCCATGGAACCATCCCATCCGGCCTACTTCGGCTACCCAACTTGTACTGGCGGTAAGTAGCCCCAGTACACCTGTTTCAGAAGATTCTTTTCATTCCACCTTGTCTTTCTCTCAATGAAAGAAAGGGTGAAGGTCTGAGTATGGATACAAAAGTAAATACTATTATCCCTGATATGTCAAATGGTATTTTGCAAGTACTGTGCTCTACTGCCAGACACCATATCAGGAGGTTGCATGCTACCTGCTTTGGATGTTTCTACCTGCACCTCTCAAGCATCCCTCAAGATTGTTGTCGGCCTAGCCGATGCCACGATGCATTCATGCGTGATGAGTCGAATTTTGAGTGCCAAAGCACATGAATGAATGCATTTGAGTTGACTCATAAGCCGTTTTGTGGAGGCCACAATGTATTCACGTGCTTTGGTTGGCAGTATGCTTGGTTTTCCAACTGCTGCATCCAGCCTTCCCTTTAATTTCCGAACGCAGGGATCTATTCAACAACTCTCTTTCTGGGGAACTCCCACGGACTCTCACAGTCTCACATTCCTTTCGTATGCTGTAAGAAGAACCACTGTATGTGTCGCCAGCATTGTGTGTGCCTCGTGCATTACTGTCTCTTCGTGGTTAACTTTCATGCCCCAGGAATCTTCGTCTCCCTTTGAATTGGGCAGTGGTCTGGGAGGAAATGACTTCACGGGCTCCTTACCAGACTTCTCAAATTGGAACATCAGCTGTGAACAGATGTAAATAAGCCTTCTCACGCTCTTTTCCTCCTTTTCCCACTCTAAACAACGCTTGCTCAATCTTGGCCTTAGCACCACCAGGGAGCAAATTTGTGCCGTTTTATTTCGTATTTTGGGCGAAAAAATCACGTACGATGATTCACCCACCTTTTGATAATTTTGGTCTGGAAAAGTATTGTATCTTGGTAAAAAACTGTCAAACTTATATGCTATAGTCTGTGTAGGCTGTAGTGGGGTAGACAATATGGGGTACAACATTCTAGGTATTCCTACTTGTACCCACCTGCTTGCTAGTTCATTCATTCCTCATTTCTTCACATGGTATAGAGCAGGTTCCCTAATGGGAACGCTTCCTTGGGCCCACCACTGAGATTTTTTTTCTGACCAGAGCGCTAGTCGCTCCTGCCCGAGGCGCGCCCCGTGGGCTGCCCTTCTGTCGAGCCCTCTTAGAGGCCCCTCTCACGGCCCCTCGCGCCACCCTTAGCGGCCCCGTCGCCGCCCCTAGCGGCCCCGTCGCCGCCCTTCCAGGCCCATCGCGGCCCCTACGCGGCCCTGTCACCGCCCCTCGCGGCCTCGTCACCGCCCCTACCGGCCCCGTTGCCGCCCCTACGCGGCCCCGTCACCGCCTCTAGCAGCCCCGTCGCCGCCCCTACGCGGCCCTTTCGCCGCCCCTAGGCGGCCCCCTCGCCGCCCCTACGCGGCCCCGTCGTCGCCCCTACGCGGCCCTGTCGCCGCCCCTACGCGGCCCCGTCGCCGCCCCTAGCGACCCCGTCGCCGCCCCTACGCGGCCCCGTCGCCGCCCCTAACGGCCCCGTCGCCGCCCCTCGCGGCCCAGTCGCCGCCCCTCGCGGCCCCGTCGCCGCCACTCGCAGCCACGTCGCCGCCTCCACCGGCCCCGTCGCCGCCCCTACCGGCCCCGTCGCCACCCCTACCGAGCAGCCGAGCCGCCCAGCAGCCGAGTCGCCGAGCCGCCCAGCAGCCGAGCCGCCGAGCCGCCATGCCGCCGAGCCGCCCAGCAGCCGAGCGGCCGAGCCGCCCAGCAGCCGAGCCGCCGAGGCCGCCGTCGAGCCGCCGCTACCGAGCCACTGCCGAGCCGCTGCTATCGCGGTTGCCGCCCTGTTCCTTCCAGCGCGCCCCGGCCCTGCCCACCCGGACTGGTGAGAGCACCCCCTACTTGACCACTGCTGTCATGGCTACCCACAGTGTCCTTACCTTTGATGCTGAGGGTTGTGCTGTTGACTTCGAGGTCTGGGTAGATGACCAACAGCTTTTTCTGCAGTGCGATAGGGCAGACATACTCTCCCTGTTCGATCTCACCTCTGGTGCCTCTCCTGCCCCGCCTGCTGATGCTGACAGCACTGTTCGCTCACAGTGGGCCACCCGCGATGCTGCTGCCCGTATTCCTATGTGACGCCACTTACCGACCGCTGAGCGTGCGGACTTTAGTCAGTAAATGAGTGCTAAGACCTTGTACGACGCTGTAGTTGCACGCTACTCTTCCCGTGCCACTGCTGCTCTTAGCCGCCTCATACTGCCGTACCTGTTTCCTGACCTCGCCGCCTTTCCCACTGTCGCTCACCTCGTTACGCACCTCCGCACTAATGACACCCGCTACCGCGCTGCGCTTCCTGCTGAGTTTTGCGCCAAGAACCCCCCCCCCCCCCCCCCCCCATGTACATCACCCTCTACTACATAGTCACCCGGCTCCTTGACTCCCTTCGCTCGGTCAGGGACCACGTCCTCTCTGTTTTCCCCACCACACTCACCATTGACCTCCTCGAGGAGCGCCTCCTGGCAGCTGAGAAGAGTAAAGTCGCTGTAGGAGCCTCTAGAGGTGACCCGCGTGCCCTCGTCTTTGAGGGGTACTCCCCCTCCCCCCTTTTGCCCTCTGTTGCCTCTGCTGCTGCCGTCGACTTCGTTGGCACCGAGTCGGTCGGCGCTGCGTCTGCCCCTAGTGGGCGATGCCGCACCGGCAAGGGCAAGGGAGGCAAGGGCGCTGGAGGGGCTGGCGGGGGCGGTGGAGGTGGAGGTGGAGGAGGCCGAGGGAGTGGGGGTGGTGGTGGAAGTGGTGGCGGGGGTGGGGGCTTCGGTGGCGGCGGTGGTGGCGGAGGCGGCGGCGGAGGTGGCGGTGGAAGCGCAGGAGGAGGCGGTGGCGGCGGAGGAGGTGAAGCTAGTCGGGGTGGCTCTGCACAGAGGGGCGGCTTAGGTGGTGGTCAGCGCCAGCAGCAGCGCACTTGTGAGACCCCGTCCCCCCAGCAGCTTCGTGAGTGGTACGCTCGGCGTCAGCGAGGTGGGGGTACTGGCCCCTGTACCTACGTCCTCCGTACCGGCGACCGCGCGGGTGAGCAGTGCGGGGGCCCGCACTCCACCCAGCGCTGCTTCAGCCGCATGACGGACGCTTGGCGTCACCAGTTCCCTGACGCCACTGAGATCCCTTGCTGGGGAGAGCTATCTAGGGCGGGAGTTGTTATCTTTGATCTTGACTAAGATGCTATTCTTGCTGCCATATATGCTGTGTCTACTAGTGATGAGGGTGACTGTTACCTGTGTGTTCCGCCTGACCCGCACATTGAGGCTGCTGCTCTAGGTGCTGGTGAGGCTGCTGCTCTAGGTGCTAGTGCGTCTACTGCCCCAGGTGCTGGTGAGTCTGCTCTCTCAGGTACCACGTCGGCTCAGGCCTTACACACCATCACCCTTGACTCAGGTGCTTCCCGCTCCTTCTTTCGAGACCGCACCACGCTTACGCCGCATAGTCGGCCGGTTGCGGTCTCCCTGGCGGACCCCTCTGGGGGTCCTGTCCTTGCCCACTTCTCCACTGTCTTACCGTGTCCGGCAGCCCCCTCTGGCACCCTGTCTGGTCTCTACCTCCCCTCATTCTCTACAAACTTGGTGAGTGGTGCGGATCTACAGGATCAGGGGGTTGACCAGTTCACTCCTGCGAGTCAGCGGGTGACCGACTGTACGTGTGCTCGGAAGGGCCGACACTAGGCCACGTTTACCCGTCGGCCGGGGTCGAGCATGTACACACTGACTATTGAGTCTCCTCCGGTTGCTGAGTCTGGTCAGGTAGCTGCGTCGAGTCAGGTGTTTGCTGCAGCGTCCAGGTCTGGTCCTGAGTCTGCTCCCTGCTCGTATCGTCTCCTGTCCCACCAGACTCTCCTTTGGCACCACCGCCTTGGTCACCCCTCCCTGCCTCGTCTCCGAAGCATGGCCTCCCGTGTCCTTGTCTCTGGTCTCCCCCCGTCTTTCCCTCCCCTACCTCCGGGGCCTGCCCCTACCTGCGTTCCCTGCGTCGAGGGGCGGCAGCGCGCCGCCCCTCATGTTGGTGTAAGGGCCTAATAAACTCAAGCTATTAAGACTTTATCAAACTTAAAACCTCTCCTCGGGGTCACCTCCAAGGGTCCTTGGGTGCCTGGTACAAGACCAGCCCCTATCCTCGGGTCCGAGTTTGTAGAGAGAGGGATCAAGAGGGACTTAGTCAAAACAGCAAGAGTATCTTGAACGTCGCGCAGCGTATCGTGCAGACCATTGATCGGATTAAGCTGAGATTTTCCTATATCGAAGCTCACTCTAAGAGCTTCAAAATAAGCCAAGTTGCCTCGCGAAAAGTTTTGCCATTACGAAATTATGGCTCGGACAGCGTTAGCCTAGCGTTGGAGTGCTAGCGTACTAGCGTTGACTCGGGTAGCATTCCGCCGTCGCACCGCGTAGAAAGGAAATTCCAGCAAGGAAGGAATTCGCTTGAATCAATTTCACTATATTCAGGTACAAACAGAGAAGGAATAAATAGCTCTAGCTAGCAAGGACCTTGGGAATCAACCTGGGAACAACCAGGGAGTATCCCAAAAAATTCCAATCTGCGCAATCAAGTAAGTTGAACCGCAAAGCTTCCATCTTGGGTTCCTTTGCGAGCTCGTCCTTTCTGCTTGTACTGTTCATAGCGCGTACAATGTTATGCCGAAGCGCACATTGTGCGAGTACCTGCAAATGCTTCAAACGAAAATTGCGAAAGCAAGCAAACACACGAACATACCATTTACGCGCAAATGCATTCGCACACGCATACTCGTACAAACAGACGGCAGGATGTCGTGCAATGTGAATTTGCACCCAACACACTCTCCCTCAGCTTGCCGGCTGCATCCCCATCATTCCATACTAGTTCATGCTCATTCCACTCATGTGCACACAACGCCAATGAGGCTCATCCGCAAGCCTCTTGGTGAGGAAGTCTGCTGGCTGCTGGTGAGTCTTGATATAGATCGGATTCACCGTCCCCCTCTTCACCTCTTTACGCAGCCAGTGCCACTTTATACGCATGTGCTTATTGAGCCCATGAAGCACAGCGTTCCTGGCCATCCCAAGAGCTCCCTTGCTATCACAAAACAGCGGCGTAGCAACCTTTTGCTCCTGGCCAATCTCCTCCAACAGCCTCCTCAGCCAAATCACATCCTTCACCCCATGGAACATCGCCATGTACTCTGATTCCACGGAAGAGAGTGCTGTCTCCGTCTGCTTCTTTGACCTCCAACTAACCGGTCCTCCCCCAACTACGCAGATGTATCCTCCCACAGATGAGGAATCCTCCTTCTCAGAGGCCCACGTAGCATCGGTAAAGCAAGTGAGAAAAAGCTTGCCTTCTCGAAGCCTCTCCCCCTTCTCTTTCAGCACCTCAACCCCTTTCTGCTTCACCTGTGCAGATGCGGAGTATTGAACTCCAATGCTTGGGTGAGAGTTCAGATACTTCACCACACGCTCAGCTGCATCCACCTGCTCCTCTGATGGATTCTGCACCACCCTAGCCAGCTGCCCAACCGAGAAAGAGATGTCGGGCCTCGTGTGAACTGCTGCATACAAGAGGCTGCCCACCAAGGACTGAAATTGCTGCTGCTCCTCGGCTTCAACCCCTTCATCCTCTGCAGCTTTCACAAGCTTGAATTCTGCTGGCAGGGGAGTTGCAACCTTGCGCTCATTCTCAATCCCGTACTTCTCCCCAACCTCCTTGATGAACTTCTCCTGGTGCAGCTTCAACCACCTGTGATCCAGATCCCTCTCCACGTGCATCCCGAGGTAGTACTTTACCTCCCCAAGGTTCTTGCACTTGAAGTTCTCCATCAGCTGCTGCTGCACCTTCTGGATCTCCTTCATGTTGCTGCTAAAGAGAAGAATGTCGTCCACATAGACCAGAAACAGCACCAGCTTCTCCCCCTCCCCCTTGAGAAAGAGGCTCTCATCACAGCTGCTGGTCCTGAATCCCATCTCCTCTAAAACAGCTGCCAACTTCTGGTACCAGCAGCGTGGCGCCTGCTTCAAGCCGTAGATGGACTTTTTCAGCTTGAACACTCTGCCCGTACCATCCTCATACCCATGTGGCTGCGTCATGAACACCTCCTCCTCTAAAATCCCGTTGAGGAATGCCGTTGATATGTCCATCTGGATAATGAATTTCCCACTAACAGCTGCATCTGCCAACAAGACACGAAGGGTGGGGGTTTTGGCAGTGGGAGCAAAGATCTCATTGAAGTCCCGCTTCTCCTTCTGCATAAACCCCTTAGCCACCAACCTACTCTTGTAGATGGTGACCTGCCCCTTGTTGTCAGTCTTGATCCTTAGCACCCACTTGCATTGTACCGCTTTCTTTCCCTTAGGCAGCACCACTAGTTCCCAAGTCCCATTCTCCAGCAGGCTGTGGTACTCAGCATCCCTACAAGCTAGCCATTTGTCCCTATCTGGTCCAGCCAATGCCTCCTCCATGCTAGCTGGTTCCTCTGGTGCAGGGGCAAGAAAACAGTACGCAGGTTCATCCTCCTCATCCGGGTCATAGCCATGCGGTAGAATCAGCAATGCCTCCTCAGTCCCAAGCTGCATCAGCTCCTGCTACATCAGCTCCTGCAGTCAGCTTCTTAGTAGCCATACGGGTACGTCCTGGCCTGGAGACGGGTGTCTCCCATCCCTTCATAACGACACCCTTCGGCTTCTTAGTTTTCCCCTGCTGCTGCTCTTTCCCCTCAGATCCAGCAGCTCCACTAGTGCCAGTCTCCACATCATTTTCTCCACCAGCAGGTGCCTCCTGTACCTTCTTTCCATCACCACCCTCTGCAGCTGCCTCCTCTCCCTCCTCCCACACACTAGGAGTCAGGTCCAGCTGCATGGTGATCTGCTCCGTTTGCTGGGACACCCTGGCCTCCGGCTGTTTCTCCCAGCTCCCATACATCATGCCCTCAACAAACTTCACATCCCTGCTGTCAAACAACACACCCTTGGAAGGTTCCCACAGCAGCCATCCCTTGCTCTCAGCAGCCAGCCCCAAATGCACACACCAGATTGCACTCGCCCCCAACTTACTGCGGTAGGTCTTGGGGACGTGGGCGACTGCCATGCAACCGAACACCCTCAGCATGTCCACCGGCGGCTTCCTCCCAAGCCACCTCTCCAACGGCACCCACGAGTCATCCCCAACCTTTGTGAGTACCCTGTTCCTAGCGACGGTAGCGTGCCGAACAGCATGGGGCCACATCAAGTTGCCCAGCCCAGATTCTATGAGCAGCGCCCTAGCTGTCTCCAGAATTGTCCGGTTCGCCCGTTCTGCTACACCGTTAGACTGTGGGGTGTAAGCCGTGGTCAGCTCCCTCTAGATGCCCTGCTTCTTGAGCCAGGCCGTCATCTCAGCTCCAAGGAACTCATCACCCCGATATGTCCTAATCCGCTTCACCACACACTCCGCTTGCTTCTCCACGAACGGCAGCCAATCGTCCCGAATCGTGGAGGCGGCGTGATCTTTCTGCTTCAGCGGATACGCCCACATTAGCCTGCTCCAGTCATCCACTATGGTTAGGAAGTACCGCTTCCCCTTGTGCCCTTGCACCGGCAGCGGCCCCACCAAGTCCATGTGGACCAGCTCCAACGGCTTTTTGCTCCTGCCAGCCACACTATGGAAGGGGAAACGGGTGAAATTTGAAAGGAGGCAAATTTCACAGTTATCATCGGGTGGTTGTCCGTTCAGCTTCAAGCCCTTAACGGCTCCATCCTTCTCCAGCTGCTTCAGCAAAGGCATTGCCACATGCCCCAAACGTCGGTGTGCAGTTGCCCAATCCGTCTCCCCAGATCTGGCCGACACTTTCACACCAACCCCTCCAACGGCGTTGCACTCCCCCTGGGATGCAGACCCCTCTCCAACCTGCCCCCCACCGTGCCACGCCAGCGCCGGCAGCTGCCACATAGATCTGTACACGTCCTTGCTCTCGTGCAGATCCCAAAGCACCCGATTGCCCAGCTTCCCCTTATAAGTGCGAGCCCCATCCGTGTTGGTGTTCACCCCAGCCTTGCCAAGATTACGGAGGGAGATGAGGTTGGCCTTCAGGTCGGGGACGAGGAGAACGTCGTGCAGCACCACCGGCTTGCCATCCGCTCCCTTAAACGCAGCTCGTCCCGCACCAGCCACCTTCAACATGTGTCCAGAGGCAGAGCACACCTCATTAATCGGTGCAGCGCGTACGTCGTCCAGCAGGTCCTTGCGCGGCGTCATTGTCCAAGCAGCGCCTGTGTCCAACACCCAATAGTCCACGGGGTGCAGCTCTGCTCCAACCTTACCAGATGCGTCTCCTTGCTCCCCCTTGTCTCCCATATGGAAGAATTGGCCCGCGGTGCGCTCCTTCTTCTTCTCCGCACCGCCGTTGCCCTTCGGGTTGTTGTCGGACGAATCAGCGACCATGTTGGCGCCGTTTTTCTGGTTCCTCCGCGCGCCGCCATCCTGGTGACGATTCTGGGGGGTCCATCCATCGGGTTTCTTATAGCACAAAAACCAGGGGTGCCCTTCCTTCTCACAATACCAGCAACTCCCTTTCATTTTGCCACCAGCACCCGACTTGCCCCCACGTCCAGATTTCGCACCGCGACCCCAACCGGTACCTCCTTGTTGGTCGTTGGAGTCGTCGTCTTTCTTTGCACCGCGTCCAGCACCACCGAAGCCACGTCCTCTGCCACGTCGGCTCCCTTGCATCCCGTAGCCGCTGCTGCCGTCGTCTCCACCTCTCAGTTGACGGCGACGGAAGTCCTCCTCTAGAAACTTTGTCCGCACCCACTCGAGTGTCCACGAACTCTGGTTCTGCGGCAAGCTCAATCCGCTCGTGAATTGAAGCCACGATTCCGGCAGCAGCGAAAGCATCTTCAGGCACTTAGTCTGCTCCGGGTAGGTGATTCCCGCGGTCCCCAACTTCGCGTAGAGGTCGCGCAATTTGTCCAGGACAGGTTGCACCGGCTCTCCCTCGCTCAGGCGCAACGCGGACAGCTCCCTCTCCAGCATCAATGTTGCAACAACGGAGGTCGGGGCATGCAGCTCC